AAAATATATATTTTTTTGCAGCTTTTAGTTTTTAATATTAATTTACAATATGGTCACCCAACACTTAATAATAGCAGAGGAGCCAAATGTCTGGCTCACTGCTGCCAACTAGTGGTCAGAGGCTGAACTACAACATAAAAATGAATGGCTGGCAGGAAAGTTGAAATTTTAAAACTTAATAAAAAATCGGTACAGGGCTTTAGAATATCGATACAGTATCGGGAAATGAAATATCGCGATATTTCAGTGTATCGATATTTTCTTACAACCCTACAAGACACTTGATTTTATTTTTCTTGCTGTCATTTTCAAAGAAATCCCGAAGTGGACATTACCGTTTTCTCCCTACTTTTGTTGTCATCATTTAGCAGGTGATGCTGAGCAGCAGACTGTAAACTAGTGTTTGTGTTTTAGTTAACTATAATAACCCTGGWCCTGACCTGGGTCAGCCTCCTTCAGCTCGTTCAGCTTGTGTTGGGCGGCAGAGAGCAACAGCTGGTGAGGGATCAAACTCCTGGCTTTCTGCTGCAGCTCAGGTTTCTCATACTGCAGCACGTGCTGGAAGTTGGACTGAAGGGTCACAAAGAAACTCATACTGCTCCCCTGCAACACACACACACACACACACACCAACAAAACCTTCAAGCTTTTTCACATCAAACATTTACAACTGAGCATGGTGTTGTGTTTCAGCAGTGTAACCATCACGCCTCCAACGACACTCTGCTCTGCAGGGCTCCAGATGTGTTTTCAGCTTCACACGTCAAACACAGGCTTCTAATCTGAGCTTAGATCATTAGCATAATGTGGGACTTTTGGGCTCAGATATTTGAATCAGTGAAWAAAGGAGAGCTTAATAATCTGCTCTGAAACAAAAGAAGTGTGACACAGGCGCAGAGCAGAGTGCTGTAATAAAAGACTGTTGTAGTTTCACTGTCGTCCTCTTATTTGACCAAAATATGTCACAGACGTTTATTGATTCTGAAGAAAATGAATTCTGAGATTCAACAACTACGTTGTGACAGACAAAGGCYGAAACAATACTGCTTAGTTCTTAGCAGCAGGTGACAACAGATAAATAAAATAAATAAGAGCTGAACTCAGTAATATCACATGTGGAGTTCCTCAGGGTTCTATACTTGGACTAAAACAGTTTAGTTTGTAAATGATTTAGTAAATGTATCAGGGTTGTTTAAATGTGTTCTGTTTGCTGATGGTACTACTATGGCTGTGTCCAAAACGACAGGCCGTGTCCTCCGGAGGACCCAGACTACCCTGCCGAGGTGGGCCGGGTCCTTGGTAGACCGGGAAGACCGGTAAAAAAGAGGCTGTGAATTTGGACGGTCTAGCCTCCCCTCCATCCCCGGCGTAAGTC